ACACCGTGGTAACCCTACACAACAGTGAAAAACAACTAGAGGCTGTCTTTAATTGGACAAGGTAATGTTAAACAGTTGTGTGAGGAGTCACAGAAGCTGGGACTGCCCAGCCCTTAAACACCTAGTTACTCAACACCTGATGAACATGGCAGAGTCCCCAGGCTCTCCCTTCTGTGCTCATCCTCGTAATTTAGTGATACCCTCTCTGTTTGATCAAGGATGCATTATTCCATACTCCAAATTTCAGCTAAATTTCTCCTTCAGCTCTGTCTCTGGTTCTCGTTACTCTACCCTACTGGAGAGCCTGAGATGTACCTCACTTGCACTTTGTCATACTTGGAAAGGAGAGAGGACTAAGCTGGCTTTAAACTTATACCTGGCTGCAGTCTAGGAGTTACTTGGTGTAAAACAGAATGGGCTTAGGCTTTTTTCCACATTTTGTTTTGTCTGCCAGCATGTCATTGGGACTGCTCTATCATATGAGGACTGTTAGAGGGTGGACTTCCCGCTGACGAGTTTTCCCTGAGGCCTTACTCCTGCATTGAAGAACAGAAAATGCAGGAGCTGCTCCTAAGGCCAGGCTTCCTTGAAGGATTCCTTTAGATAAAGAGTGGCCAATATGTGTTGATGAGCTATTTGGTCAGCAAATAGGGGTGGGGGAAATGGCAAGCATATAAAATGTTCTATCCACGTTAGAAGTGTGTATGCTTTCTGCCTCTGCTTCTAATCCAGTCTGAAGCTTTTTTTTTTTTCCTTTAAAAAAAAATAAAATCCAAGCATTTGGTATTTTTCTTCAAGATTTGTTATGAGGTACTCTGTTTTTCTTGCTGCTTCACTGGACACTATAATCCAAATTTCTCCATGGTAATTTTTAATGACCTAAAGCTCTGTGCACAACATTTCTGTAATTGGCTGTATTTCAGACAGTTGCTACTTTAGGTCTTCACTGTCCTGTATTTCAGTGGAGAGGAAAATAAATAATCAACGTCAACTGGTGGTAGAGGGTTATAGATGGAAAGCTATGGCTCCATGAATGAAAGTATTATTCATGGAGTGAGATGTAATCCCCAAAATCCAAGCTGGGAGAACGACTGCTCAGTTGAGGCCCCTTCTGCAACTTACAAGGCAACTTGCTTTCCTTGTAAACTAAGGAATTGGGTATAAATACATTTCACTGCACCTTTAAAGTACAAAACAAAACAGATGGTTGAAAGGCACTGTGCTCTCTTGTCAGCTCTCACCCTCTTTATGTGGACTTCTTCCAGCCCTCCCAGTCTTTCTTTTGCGGGTTTTAATACAGTTATTCATCCCAGTTTCCCTTACCCCTTGGCAAGGGGCTTCTCCCCTTGCCAGCCTTTGGGCAGACAGTGCTACTGAAGCCTGATTCAGAACCTGCTGCTGATGCCAAACCTGTGATTAGTTATTGTTTGGAAGCCCTAAATTAGGCAGGGTGCGTATGTTCGGCTGGAAGCCAACAATCTTGAGCAGGAGGTCAGGGGGTGGGGATGATCCACTGGACAAATGTCATAGTGCAGCTCAGTTTAATGTAGTGGGAAGCGTCAGGGGATGTGCAGTGAAAATCCCTGATGATACCTAGGGAGAGGACATCCTCAGGAAGGGCATGTTGTGCTGCAGCTGCCAGCAGAAGCCAGGTGGATTGGCTTTGTTGCCTGGACTTAAGAAGCAGATAAAGCACTGAAGGCTGAGTGAAAAAAAAAAATCAAACCACAACTTTCTCTAAACAAACAAAAAAAATGACTGAATGCTGGAATTCTTGCAAAATCTGGGAGCTGGCAGGGCACTGTAAAAACCAGCACATATTCTGAGTCTTGTGCTTTGGAAAACGTACTGTGAGCTGGCAGTGCTGCACAGTGGAAATCTAAAATACTAATGCTTTAAGCTTTAAGATGCTGCACATCAAGAATGAGTTACTTGATTCAAATATAACTTGCCTGGGGACCATCTGAACTTGCAGACTTGTTTCAGCTTGTTACTAACTGCTGTGCCTCGTTTCTGCCTTCTACCTCCAAATAAGCGGCGGAGAGGACAATTTAATTTAGTTATCCATCATTCCTGAATCCAGGCATGGGCATGGCTTTGCCAAATGGGTTGGCTTGTGCACGGAGGGCAAAATGTTGCCCTTGCCCCATTACCGTGGAAGCACTAAGATGTGTGGGCAAAGCTTAGTTGGCTTTTGTTTGGAAGGTGCTAGCGTTAGGTACGCTAACGTGAACTAATTGTATTTCTCAGGGCAGGAAGGCTCAAATTTATCCTCTCTGTAGTAACTGAGATGCTGAAAGCTAGGCATCTCCAGGGCCTATTCAGTCTTATACCAGTTTCTACTTGACTGTAGGGAGAACAATTTATGCTAGTTGTCTTTATTAGGTGAGGTGCCTTGAATGTAGGGCTGGGTGGAGAAATAAAACACTCTGTTGCTAGCAAGATGGCCAAAGACCTCTGCTTCCTTCTGTAAATCCTAAATATGGAGTCAGGGATAGGCAGACACTGGGACAAATATGATTACCCTCTTTCCATTGACTAAGTGAGGCTGGAGTGATCCTGTTCTTCTCTTTGGTGGGCTATGGGATGTGCACTTCATCTCTGCTGGGCAGTGCTGCAAGGCAGAGACTGCCCTTCTCTCTTCTAGCTGGGCAGTTTGCCCCAAGTGCAGGACATTTTGTGTTTGGACTTTGGTCAGTTCCTGAGAGTAAGAAAAAAAGCTGTAGCTGAATTCTGCTGTCTCTTCCCAGGCATGCTCCAGATGTAGACAAGCATAGGTTTCTTATTTGACCTCAATTTATACTTTCCTAGAGAGAAATGAGGAGAGCCTGCAACTGAAAGTCCTGACTGGAAGAAAGCAAGGTCTGCCACAAGCATCTATCTTCCTGTCTTAGTAACAGGAGAGAAGGAAAAGTAAGTACGGCTAAAACCTCCCTGAATGTAGGGAGTCACTTGCTACCATCTTTCAGCTCCTGCTTACTCCCTGTGATTTGGCAGTGCTCCATTCTGCCTGCACAATTTCTTCAGTGTGACTGGGCTTTGCAGAAACCTCCTTAATCCAGCACAGAAAGGTTTTATGCAATTACATACATAGCATAGTCTTATTTCACTTGATTTAAATGAGAAAGTTAAATCTCAGTCTAGACAGAGTGCTCTCTAGCTCCTGTGAATCTTGCACCCAGCGAGATGCATCATCTACGAGTATGTTTCTCATTTACCAGACAAGCCCAGGGAATCTGCACCCCCCCGTAAAATTCCTGTCTGTGCTAAATTGCCTTTTAGTCCTGATTTATACCTCAATAAAACACATCATGAGAAGAAGAAAATGTTTAATTGTATAACTGACATGACTTATGCGAGACACATTTTTGGTGGTTATTTATGCACTTATCTTCTTTAAAAGGGGTCTAAAGACTTATGACTTTCATCTACAGTGGGACAGTAAAGGGTGAGGAAAATAAATGTGATGAAGGACAAGGACTAAACCTTAAGCCAGTGTGGCTTCTGGACAAGGACCTCTGTTAAGAGAATCACTGAAAAATATAAAGAGATGCAGGTTGGGTTTGAGATCTTAAGGATCTCAAAGAAAAACTTTTAGATTCTTCCTTTCTCCTAACAAACCAAGCCAGAAAACAACCTCAAGTTGGGGCTGTTTGATGTTGAAAGTTGGAAGAAGTTTCTTTTCTCAAAGCAGTAACAGGTAAAGAAATCTTCTTTTATGTTGCTTATGAAATCACTGATTCTGAGTTCTTGTTTGATTTGTTTCACCCAGACCCCTTTCAAAATTGTGCTGTAGTGTTTGGGTTTTTTTAAATAGTTTTCTCAAGGGTGAATATGATGCTAGAGACCAAGAGACATGTATGCAAGTCTGTCTTCAGGTGTCTGCTGCAAGGTTTCTGCTGGCAACGTTGTCCTACTGATGACAGGCACCCTGGCACCACCTTAAACAAGTGTTCAAGCAGCACACGCAAGATAGGACTCCAGGATAATTAGAAATGGATTCATTACTGGGAGGCCTGCATTATTTACTTAATTACATCATAAACATGCTTCTTATCTTTTTTTATCACCTTTGTAAGGATGTAGCTTCTAAGCATGTTCTTGGGGGGTGAAAGCTAAGGAGCAAAGCTGAGCTTGTTGTTCAGATCCAATTTGATCTCATCACTGAAAAAATGTTTATTATGGCATGGAGTTAGTGTTGACATATGCTTTGTTCTGCATGACGTGCCTCTTGCCTCAAGGGCCATCTAGACTTCAAAAGCTGGCGAGTAGGTGTGTGGTAATGCAAGGACATGCCCATATATCTGCATATTAAGCTGATAGAATACTTCACAAATAGGTAGGTTAGCAGCATTCTTATTTCCTTGTCTTTCGCTGTCTCAGCCTGCTTTTTTCACCTGTGGTGGTGTCCTCTGCATGGGAACTTGGCCGCTATGGTGCTGTGGACCAACAAACGGGGAGTGTAAAGTTGGAAACGTGTGAAGCCTTCAGAGTGGTGGGGTATAAGGCCTCCTAAAATGTCTTAGACTGTCCGTAGGAGATGCTGAATTCTTCCTGGTGACATCTATATATATCCCTTAAATATGAGAAGTGATCAGTGCAATCTTCAAAAGTTTTCCTCTAATGAAGAGGTGAATGAAGTTGCTCACGCCTTTGTACTTAAACACTGTACCTCAATAGGCTGTACGAATCCCCTGAGACATCGTTTACTAGAGACAACCCTTGCCCTTCTTCACCAGAGCAAACCCTCCTGGCAATGTGGTCAGTAAAAATGCATTTACTACCAACACTTGAAGGATTATCCCTACCCAGGTTACCAGCTCTCACTAGCTTTCACATGAAGACTGGTGGCAACCAAGCCTAACAAGGAGGCTGACCTCTGAACGACGTGGGTGTTCCATCAGCCTCAGAGAGAGTATTTTCTTGCTGAACTTCATGAAAAGAAAGGCAGCTACCCTTCTATTAAAATGACTTTTGACTTTGTAGAAAGTGAAACTTACCATTATCCAGTGTTTTGGGCTTCCACCTACGCTATGTTAATCGAAGGAACACAGGAGCTTTGTGCATCGACGATGGTTATCTCCATAGGAAATCCAGCATTGTGGTTACACCAGCTGTTTTTTTGCCTTTCCCACTTGTAGGACTTCTTTTCACTTGCAGGATTTCCTTGTTCCAAGTGTTTCTTTGTAGACCCAAGCACTTTTTTTTCTTTTTTTTTTCTCCTCTGAAAGAAAAGGTCAATGAAACAGAGATGAACAAAGGAGGAAAATGTCTTTCCATTTACTTACTGTCCTGCCAATTCAAACAGCTCTGTGCTACGCAGGGTTTCCCTGCACACCTCTCCAGATGATGCACAAGACTGACCTCAGGGAAAAATTGATTCTCTCTGAAATACGATCAAATAACTTTGCCACTGTCAGCGATACGTGTTTTTTAATCAGCAGCATGACCTTTTTTTATATCCCTGTTAAGGGCTAAGGAATTTTGGCAGGTATCGTGAACTGATGCATGCTGCGTGGCCTTACTTTACTGCTCCCAATGCATTTATCAGGAAGGCTGTTATCCAGAGTTGTTCAATAGCTCTGGAACGCTTATTCCAGCAGTTCCTTCACTTGCAAATTTGCAGCCGAATGTTGCAGCTTTGTGCTGGAGAACGAAAAGGTCAAACAGACCTCATCCAGGGTAAAAGCAGCTACTTTGTGGGCTTCACTGCACAAGCTTTGAGAGAAATGCAGCCAGTACACCAAAGCACAACCAATCCAGAATTGTGAATTGAAAAGATAGTTTTATGAGCTTGAATAGCTTAGCCTTTTTAAAAATACTTTGTTGCTTTTAATGTTGGGACAGTGCCTAGAGCCAGACCACCACATGGATTATGCAAACATAAAACAAAGGGTTGATCTCTATACTGGAGATCATTAATCTATCTTTAAAATGACCAGTCATGCTTTCAGAGGTCATTTTGGGTTGTTTATTAAACCTGCTTGTTGTCTTGAGTCACCCAAACATAACATTGCTAAGGCCCTGCCCTTATTCTGATAAGGGACACAAAAACTGCGATCACACACGGAATTTGCCTCCAAAGCATTCAGGTATGTAAGTGACTGTCCACTGATAACCATGTGAATTTTCTGAGACAATTCATGTTTCAAAGACAGAACTGAATTGTAGGGGGGGGGTGGAGAAAAAACCCAGAACAAATAAAAAACCAAACATCACCTTCTCCCCACAAAAAAAAAACAAAAACGCAACCCATGGGAGTTGTCAGGAAATAGCTGAGCAAGATTGTGAGAAAACTGTGAGTTAAAGGACTAGTGAAGAGTTTATGCCACGTGTGGAGGGTGTGAAGGTTTAGATGGGCTTGGGGTATGGCTGCAGCGAGCCATCACGTAATCCTTCTAGCATGCGACGCGCAGGATGAGCTAGAGGTTGAATAGAGTTACTTGGCCTTGGGATCTTTTCCATTTGCCAGGAGAATCAATCTGAAGGAAACCTTGGAAACAGAGCACACTTACTTTTTTTGAAGAGCTCTGTAACTTTCGCTACTTCCAAAGCCAGAAAAGTGGATTGTCAGAAATGACTCTGTTTCTCTTGACTTGTCGGGGGGAGTCTGAGGTATCACAGTGGCTCTTGAACTTCAAAATGCTTTCACTATCCTTTTGGTAGTGTGCATAGAACCCACAAGGCATGACTTCCTCCCCTGCCCCCAAAATCTTCTAGACAACATTAATGCCTTGTCCAAAAATTACAGAGGACGCAACTGCGCAAAATGAGGCAGAAATGACTGCTGCCTTAAAATATGCTCACATCATGGCATGAGCACCTGCCCCCGCTCCCAACCAAAATAGATTTATAACAAAGGCACTGAGTAAGCTGTGGAGTCCTTCAGCCGACAGCGAGACTGCTGGTAAAGGTTGCACAGCAGTCTCCTTTCTCTCTTCCCAACAAATGAGGAAAACTGATGTCCTGGCAAGGACTTTTCCTGTCTGTCTGGGTCTTAAGCACAGAAGCAGCACTTTGCAGGGAAGAAAGCGAAATTACACTTTTGTGTGCAAATAGCAGCCAGCTGCTGGCTGTGTTTTTTGTTGTTTGTTTCCCCTGACTTCTAAAATGTGTTCAACATGTTGCACCCAGTTTCTCACCGTTCATCCAGCAGGCAGAGGATTTAAAGAACAGGATCGAAAAACTCCCTATATGTCAAATACGGCAAGTGTCCTGAGGGGTGAAGGACCCAGAGGTGACCTCTTGCACCAAGACCAGTGTGTTTGCTCGATGTGCACCCAGAACTGTGATCAGACATTGGGCCAAAGAGTCTGACCAGGTGGGAGACAATTTTAGGGGGACTTCATGACAGCAGTATGTGCTGCCTTACTGCAGGACCACTGGTGTTGGCCTTAGTTCATATCTCTGGACTCTTGTTTTGTAGAAGCTTTAGCAATTGCTTTTGCTCTCCTCTTCCTCCTCTCCAGCCCCTGTGGTGTGAGCCATGCACTGCTTGTGGTCCTTCCTCTCAGAGCAGAGGGCAGGAATTTCATTTTCCTCTCTTTTTTCCCGGCCGGGCCAACTTTTCTTCTGTAAGGTTCAACCTTGAGGAAGGGCAGTCTTTGCCTGCCTTGTCTCCTGTCAGGGGAGTGATGGGGTCAAACAGCTCATGTAGGATTTCTTGTTCCTGCTGAACGTGCGTTTCTCCTGTCACCTGGGAGATGTGCTGATAGTCTGCTTGTGTTTGTCTTGATGTGGGGAATCTTGCAGGCATAGCTGTAGCGTGCAGTTACGCCATTGCAGTAATGCCAGTGTCAATTCCTTTGCTTGTGGATCAAGAGCGTAGTTCATGCTGCTTGGGCTATTTCTGAAGTGATAACTCTTAAGTATGGGAGGTCAGGCAAGGTATTTGATCCAAGCAATGCCCCTGCTTTCCTGAGATGCTGCTGGTGCACATTCAGCCCAGGAAGGACCATGTACCTGGGAGGAGTTGCTACCTGAGGGATCTGTACAACAGAGTAAAACAGGATGGCCTTTGCTAGGGGCATCAAGTAGGAGTCTAAGTCTGCTGGCATGTTATTTCATCTGTTGGTATGGGCCTTTTTTCCACTGCCAAAGAGTGAGGCATGAAACCTGCCTATGAAGTGCCTACAGCATTCATCCCTCTTGCTTATTTAAGAGAATCTCGAAGGGAGTTGAATTACTTGCTTTCATGTTAGGCAGCAGTAACCTTGTGCTAAATCCCGTGAACCAAAGGCTGCAGGATACTTGAGCTTTCAGCCAGCGCTTGACTTCATAGCTTAGGCAACCAAGTAGTACTCCAGACCTAAAACAGGGTTTCTCAAATGAGTGCTTTGGGATTATTACCATTACATTTCAATTAATATGTTCATTGCTGTAGTGCAGTCTGAGGCATACAGAAAACATTTGTTTTGCCAAATGGTACCAAGAGCAAAATTACCCTTCTATGATCCATGTGGTTTACCAGAGTAAATCATAGTACTAAAAAATGATGGAAAGACCGATCCAATTAAAATCCTTTTATAAATAAAAACACTAAAGAAATCCATGTCAGCTGTGTTTAAGGAAGAAAGGCAAACATAAAATCTTAAGATCCCCTTCTCTAAAGAAGGACAACGTTGTACTGAGAGGGCGAACTGCTGCTCTATATACTGCATTATTTTATTGTGTACCCTTTCATAGCACTGAGAAAACAAAATAAGGTACAACCCACATGCCTTCCAGATCTACCATAGGGCTGTTTTTCCCCCTCTTGCTACATAATGAACAAACACGCTGTGCCTTTGCTTCACAGATTATTTATTGCTTAATGCTGAATTCCCCTTTTATTCGCTATATTATTTTTACCAGTGTATTTCAAAAATTGCTCTTTCAGGTATCTGCTCCTCTAGCACTGAAAAATGCCTCTCTGTGGTGAATGAAGTGCTACAGGAAGTTATTAGTTTCTAATTAGGAGAACAGCCTGAGGGGCAGGCTACACAGGCAGTCCTTGCAACCTGAGCAGGTTAACGGTGAGAGAGCAAGCACTGGTGTGAGGACCTGAAGTGACTAGTACAAGAGCTGAACAGAAGATCTGTGGTGGCATTAAGAGAAGAGTCCATGTTTTCTGCATCACAGGAGGGATCCTGGATCCTATAGCTCTGGATGGTAGGATTTTCTGGACCCCAGAAAACAGTCTCTATTGTAGCTGGAAATAACCATCTAACCTGCTCTGCTCACGAGGGAACTTGTCAGAAGAGTTTTTCTGTCTAGAAGCAGAAATTAGAAGGAAAGTGTTAGTAGGCAGGGGTGAAGAGAGCTGGGAGAAGCTGGTGAAGAGCAGGGATAGATTAATGGGCATTTGGTTTTACTGCTCAGAAAGTGCATGGAAGCTGGAAGAGATTAGAGAAGCGCATTTTAATTTAAACTATGGTGAATGTACCTGAATTCCTGAGTAACCTGCATTGAGAATTGTGTGATGCTTCTCACTTAGAAGATCCTGCTTGAAGATGTTCGCGTGTCTGCCAGGCTTTGGGGTTGATGGGTTGAAGGCTTTGGGGTCAAACCACAGGGAAAGATCCTGTAATCAGCTCCAGTTTCTGAACTGAGAGCTGCTCCTGCAGTGGCTGCGTGGGATGGGTCTAGCCTGATGGCTGCTACTCAACTGCAACTTTAAGCACCACACTTAAACCATAAATACCTCTCAATTTCTTAAGCAAGCTGGAGGATAAATGGCTGAAGAGCATTACCCCAGAGGTCATTCTCCTTCAGGGCCCGGAGCAGAGGTCTGGGCTTTGTTTCCTTTCTCTGCAAAAGACTGCAAACCTGCTGGAAGTTGTCTGTCTCACCTTCTGGGAGGAGAACCATAAAGGGAATAATGACAGATTATTGCACTAGCTCTAGTAGAGAAGTGTAAATGTTCCTCACAAAATCCCATTTTACAAATATATTTCTTGTAAAATACTGGGAAAGTGGTATTAGAAGCATCTGATTATCATAGAATGCTTGGAGTTGGAAGGGACCTTAAAGATCATTGAGTTCCAACCCCCCTGCCACGGGCAGGGACACCTCCCACTAGAGCAGGTTGCTCAATGCCCCATCCAGCCTGGTCTTGAACACCTTCAGGGAAGGAGCATCCACATCTTCCCCGGGCAACTTGGGCCAGTGTCTTACCACCCTCATAGTGAAAAATTTCTTCCTGTTCTCTGATCTAAATCTGTCCTCTTCTAGTTTGAAGACACT